TATAAACAGGAAACAGATAATTAGAAAATCTTTGCCTGCTTCCAGTGTGTGCCGAAATTTCATCAGCGCACACGTACACCCATACCCACACCCACACCCACACCCGACTTTCAGATACTTTTGAAATTTGAAAATTTTTTAATTCGGTGAATACTATGATAAATTTCAGAGGATCGAACTTCGTTGTTTTCTTCTTGCTAATAATAATTCTTAAGTAATCTCAACAACAATACGAACAAATCATACTCTGATTGAAAATTAGAGACTCTAGTTTTATTTAATTAATGTCTTGTTTAAAAATAATTATTTCAAAGATCAAATACAATACATTATTTTTAACTCAATAACGTAATGTTCTTCTATCAACCACTTTATGCCCATCTTGATCATAAACGTTTTTAAATAATGATGCTGCCGAGTTGACAAAACCTTGACTAAAATCGTGTTTATGGTCTGCTAACCATGCTGCTCCTTCCCGAATATGTGAAGCTTCGTGCGGCTTTAAAGCAACTCGTTCATTGGTATAAGCTGATCTCAACACTTGATTGACTGATGATCGGTCATGGCCATAATTCGATGTTGCACTGCCATAATAGTGAACATTGTCCGAGGATGCGATGTTTCGAGCATATTGATTGATTGTTGAGTCTGAATAAGTTGGTCCACGTGAATAAGCAGCCGCAGCGGCCCCTAATTCACAATCAAATTTATGACGACGAACGTCACCACTGTAGGCAGTTGAACTCGGCAGAGATGCACGAAAATCTGACGCATAATACGTTTTCTCATTTGAATTATTACTATAAGATGGACGCCAAGTCATTCTTGTTTGATTTTATATATTTGTGAATTGAAATGAGAATCCCACGAAGAACTAAAAACGATAGAAATATTATTTCAACAGGTTATCACATGCATAATGATGATATTTTGACAATGTTACTCAATACTAATTTATTTTGTATTTTTCTTTTTAAAGGTGGTAAAAGGGTATTTTGAGCAAAGATATCATCTCCTGACTTAGCTTAGTTGACATTTTGTGTGTACGCTTGTTTCATCTCAACTATATGTTCCTATATATAGTTGCACAGTTATTGCAACATTTTTCTGTAAGATCATTATGATTATTGAAGTGGGAAAAAATTCCGGGTTTTTTCCCTGCATGTTGAATTGCAAACAAAAGTGTAAGAACTCACACATTTGCGCTCTTTTGATATGTCTAGCATGTGCATCCATATTTGCATGAATACCATCCTTTCCAAATATGTTTGATTACGTGGACGATTTACGCATGTACGATCGGTTACCGGACTGTTCTAGTTTTCTCTTGTCTCGTCGTTCACATCACGCAGAGAGAATATATTTAATTAGCTTTGTTAGACTTTTATCAGGAATAATTCTCATCTCTATTTAGATTTTGCTATACATTCTTACCAATTGCCAAACTGGGGTATTGCAAAAATTGAATACTCAACATTCGATTATGGCGATGAATGTGACTTTGCAAGAGAAGACACACAAACACTTTTCTATTCTTCCAAAAGGCTTTCATGCATAGCGTTGTATCTGGTTGCTAGAAAAATGCTTTTTTTTCAACAAGAATTCGAGGTGGAAATAAAATGACCTCATTAGTTAAACATTGTGTTTTTCTGTGTAGAAGAAGAAGTGAGATTTTTTTCCCAGTGAGTTTATAGATGAATTTGTTGCCGTAGCGGTCGCCAACGACCGAGTTGATGCTATAAAGAAAGTTATGATTACTTTTCTTTTCCTCTCTGCACACTGCCAATCTGCATTTTAAAAATAAAGAATAAAAATCATCACACATTGTAAAAGGCAACTATACGACTCTACATTTTTGTAAATTTGTTGTTATTGCTAAGCGATAACCTACAGCGTTGACAGTAATAATGAAAAGCATGTTTTCCATTGAGAGAGTAGCCCAAACAACAACCAACGATAGCGTCGGAGAAAAAATATAAAATTTATCGTGAGTCTTATGAATGTTCTCTAATTTCTTCGCTTGAATGATCAAAAGAATTCGAATGTGTTGATTCAATTAACAAAATAGAAGAAAGATATATAAGACACTAAAACCAGATAGAGGGTGTGGGTGTGAATGTGGGTGTACGTGTGCGCTGATGAAATTTCGGCACACACTGGAAGCAGGCAAAGATTTTCTAATTATCTGTTTCCTGTTTATAAACCTTATGAATTAAAAAAGTATGACACTATATGAATGACTATACCTTACTCCTTGAGAAGAGATTTCTTCCACGTATATTGATGTAATTGAAATAAAAAAGAACTGAATGGGTATTTTTGACCGTGGCGTACTCCAAGATGCGCTAGTCCGATAGTTCCAAAGGTGTATATGTAAATTTACTACATGGTTAAATTTATTTGTGCTACTATCGGAATTTTTAAAGAAGACCGGTGGAAGAAAAGCTTATAACTTGTGAATGGAAAGTCATAGCGATCTGCGGTTTTCAGAGTTCAATAGAAGACAGTCGGGGGCAGATGTCAACATGGGAAAGTGATCTTCCCAGGTACTTTTGCAGACCAGATTTAGTGCACGAAATTAAGGACGAATTGGTGAAGTTTTTCGAGGGAATTTTTTCGCTAGATTTGCATCCCGGCATGCCCTCTTCACGTTGGTATCTAAGCAATTTCTAAATTTCGCTCCCTTAAAAGACCTGAGGTCGTTTAAGAGAGAAATTTCATGTAGTACATCTTTCGCTGAAAAGCAAAAAAATACTTAGAATATAGGTTTTCGATTATGCTAATCAACATGATAGGTCTTATTTGAATATTGAATTGCAGTTTTATATAGAGTTCATGCACACAAGCACATGAAAATGCTTATTTTGGAGTTCCTGTGATAAGCAAAGTTTGCATCCAATACGGTCTACCTGATTCTATCTTCTTTCTTCTTTTTATCAATCTTTTAGAACAACAGAGCTTGTATTACTTGCCCCGAAGATAAACTGAATTTTGAAAAAAGTACAAACACAAAAAGAGCTATTGTTCCACATTTTCCTCATCGTCTTCAGAATCTGTTTCTTCACTGTCAGATTGCATATGTGGTTCGATTTCTTCTTCCATTATTTTATCTGCTGTTTTATACATCTTTTCGACTTTATAAACATGATGAAAATATGAAGTTGTGAGTTTATCATCCATTGCCACCATAAACTGTTCAATCAATTATTTTACATCATCTTGACGAAAAGTTGTATTTTGATCACGAACAAACTGTTTAAGATTATTCCATGAGAGTTCAATTGGATTAAGACTACAGTATAGTTTTGGAAGGCGAATGATTTCTACAGCGTATTTTTTTGCAATACGATCGCTCTATTCAAAAAAAAAGGGGAAAATCAGGATTCGAAAAACTCAAAACAGCACTTAAAAAAGGGACTTACCATATATTCTTTACGTGGACAGTTTGCACATACAAGCTGTAATAATTGAGCTTTAACAAATTTTTCTGGAAAATGAATTTTTCGATCTTGAAGCCATTTTTGAATTTCTCCTTTTGTTGAAGAACGCTTTGGAATGATTGATTCTTTTGTGAGTGTGTTGTGCCATGTTGCGTTGTCCAAACAAACAGCAATTCTTCCCTTTTCACCTATGAAAAACGTGTGAGATATCGTTCATGGAATATTCGATTCAGAATGAGTTAACTCACCAATCTCATCTCTTAGCGTCGCACAAGTTGAATCTAACCACGAAAGAAAATGTGTTGAATCCATATTATGCTCTTCAGTACAAGACCAAATATCAACTGATGGAATATGATAACCTTTAACGCTTATAAGTGCAGATACCGCCAAACGAGGTCCTATAAACGAGAAAAGTAATGATATGTGAGAGAATGATGTATGAGTGACGTGGCGACTTACCTTTTCCTCCTCCTTTTTGATTTCTCCTTTGCCTTCTAAAGTCCAAATTAATCTTTTGACCTCTCGAAGGTTCAACCACGTTTCATCATGATAATACAAATGAACGTTTGCTTCTCGTAATTCTTCAAGAGCTTGAAAATATTTTGCTCTTGCTGCTACAAAAGCTTGTGAATCTAACGGAATTTTTATTTTTGATGTTCGTTGAAAAATGAAGCCAATCTAGAAATGGAAAAAACAGTTTGATGCTTTTTCTTCTTGCCTGCATACATCAGAACAAACACGTTACTTACACTTTTAATTTCCTTGCGCAACGTACTTGCAGAACGGATAGGAAAATCTTCATATTGCTCATTCAATCTTTTCAACAATTTCTCAGAGGTTGGGTATACTTTTTCTTGAATTAATTTATGAAATTCAACTCTAATTAAATCTTTTCCTTGTTCCGAAAGAATAATCTTCCGATGTCCAGAATGTCCTAAAAGAAGAATCGACTTTTAGACTGTTTGAATAATAGAATAAATCTTTTACTTTTCTTCTGAGGAGGCAATGCCTGATGAATAGAAAGATCGATTTTACTTGACGAAGAAAAAGCCGAGGCAGTATGTCGATGACAACAAATTTTCGCTGGTGGAGTCGATCCTGAAGATTCACGATGTTTGGGTATTGACAATGAGATGGTGCGACTACGAAGGACTCTAACATTTGCTTCTGTTTCACCTTGTTCTTTCATTTCTTGCTGTTGTTGTTCAATTGTATCTTGCTATTGTTGTTGATTAGTTTCTTGCCGTTGTTTTTCATTTGTTTCTTTCTCTTTTAACTGGTGTAATTCCTGCTTTAATCTACGAACAGATTTTTCAGAAATATCCAACATTTTGACAAGACGATCGGTCACATTGTATAGAGGAATTACTGGACCATTTTTTTCACTTTCAACAAAATTAATAATATGAAACATTAATTGTTTTACCTCCTGAGAAAACTCATAACCTTTCGGCATTATGAATAAAGAATTTATCTAAAACAGAATAATATATATTTCCAAAAGAAATAACTAAAACAATTTTCACACATACATATATCTTTTTTCTTCATTCTCGTGTGGCATAACATGTTCATATCGAAAGTGAGATATCACATTTGGAGCCGTAAATTTTAAAGAAAATAAGACCTATCATGTTGATTAGCATAATCGAAAACCTACATTCTAAGTATTTTTTTGCTTTTCAGCGAAAGATGTACTACATGAAATTTCTCTCTTAAACGACCTCGGGTCTTTTAAGGGAGCGAAATCTAGAAATTGCTTAGATACCAACGTGAAGAGGGCATGCCGGGGTGCAAACCTAGCGAAAAAATTCCCTCGAAAAACTTCACCAATTCGTCCTTAATTTCGTGCACTAAATCTGGTCTGCAAAAGTACCTGGGAAGATCACTTTCCTATGTTGGCATCTGCCACCGACTGTCTTCTATTGAACTCTGAAAACCGCAGGTCGCTATGACTTTCCATTCAAAAGTTATAAGCTTTTCTTCCACCGATCTTCTTTAAAAATTCCGATAGTACTTTTACGATTTCTTAATAAAATAAAAATATCATTTGAGATTAATAAACACCAAACACTGCCTTTCGTACTGAAAATAAATAGATTAACAGTTATTTGGATGGAAAACAGCCTTCAAATATTTGAATTAAATGAATCACTTTGTTTTGATTTTGATTACAATCAGTCAGAAATCTTTTTTTCGGAATTGAATACTGATCAAACAGAAGATAATAAAACACCTATATCGAATCTATTTTTTGAGAAAAATTTAATGAATATCTAGGAAATTATTTTATAATACCATATGAGACCACAGTTGACACATAGTAACACAAAAATAATCAATTAATGTTATGATATAGCTCGTATTAGGTCTTTAATAGGTTCATATCAGTTTATTACGTGACAAAAAAGAGGGAAGTATTATTCATTTAATAAACTAAAGATCAAATGATTGATGACCCAGTCATGACTGGGTACCAGTCGCACTGGTGCATATCTAAACATGACTGTTTGAGTAACGCTTAAAAATGAAACTCGTTGACGATATACGAAAAAGTCGAATACATAAGACGATAAATTCTCAACCAATCGAGAAATCTCAGTTTTTGCTCAATATTTTGGAAATAACTGGAAAGAAAAGCTTGACATTATTCGAATTCATGAATGTTACACCAAAATGAGTCTAAGAAAAAATAAACGCAAAATTTTCCATGAAACTTATGAAAAAAGCTTTCTGCGACTGATCTTTTTAAATACCTAAACAATAAGTGAGGATAAGAATGCCTTTAATACTCGATGATATTCAAGAAATCTTGTGATTGTTGTACTCCATCGCTGTTTACTTCTTCATCATCATGATTAGATCACATTTTGAAAAGTAAAGGCCATACGAGTGCATTTTTGTTCTATTAATTAAAGGTATGTAATGGCGTTGATTGATATTTTCATTCACTTACCTTTCGTATCAATCGAGAATGTCTCCAAAAATAGACAATAGTTACGCCCTTGTTTGATATCAACATTTTATCGTGACGCCTACGGGCAAAAAATATTTCAGGTAGCAAACTAAATTGATGAAAATAAGTGCATTTTTTTCTCTATTTTTACTTTGAGACTATATATAATTGATCA